CCTTGTTCATTTCTTTTGGACTTGTGATGAGGCAGAACTCCATGGTGGCAGTGCCTGGTAGAGCGAAACTACTCACCTCATGGCTAAGGAAGCAGAATAGAGAGGGGAAAGAGACTGGGGTCCCACAAACCCCTTTAAAATCACATCCCATCTGACCTACCGGCTTTCCACTAGACCTTACCTCTTAAATATTCCACTACCTTCCAGTAGAACCAAGCTGAGGACCGAGTCTTTAATACGTAAGATTTTAGGGGATATTCCTTATCCAAATTATAGCAGGTATTAATTTCCTAAATACTAAATTCCTGAAATACACCTTTTTGTTAAAAGTATATTTTTGATATATTGTTTGATTCTATTTCTGACATCTTATTTAGAATATTTCACCAGTCCATGCTAGTTTATTTTTTTGGTTTTGGTGATATTTATCAGCAAATATATTTGCTTTATATTAATTTTATATCAACAAAAGTTTTTCTAGCTTTCTTAAATTAATTGAGAAGCTTTCTTACTTTTCTGGAGATTGGAATAGTTTAAGATTAGAATGATCTGTTCTTTATATATTAAATAAAAAATCATATATTGTATTTGTTATTGTTTTCAATAGTAGTTTTCTAATCACCTCTCCCATTGTTTTTGTGGCAATTGATTTAACAGCACTCAGGGCCTTGTTAGGCAAGTAGTACTCTACCACTTGAATAACACCCCCAAGCCCCCAGTCCTTTTTTTGCTTTTTGTTTTTCAGATAGGGTCTCATGCTTTTGCTCTGACCAGCCTTGGACTGCAGTGCTCCTGCTTTTGCTTCCTGAGTAGCTGTGTACCACCACACCTAGCCTTTATTGTATTTTTAAAAGCGATGTTCCAGGTTCTTTTAGTTTGTTTTTGCTTCAGTAATTCAATGTCTTTCTTTGTTTTTCAAACTCTTGCTCCTCAGAATCACCTGAAGTGATTGATCACAACAAAGAAATAACTTCAGTATCATCCCCAGAGATTCTGATTCAGTATGTCAATGTTGGTCATGGTCTGGGAATAAAAATTTTATTGAGCACCTTAGGTGATTTTGCCTGTGCTTCAGTGGTAACTAGTTCTTGAGGATCCTTGCTCTTAGGATACAGGAGAATTACATACTTATTTCTTATTATTTCTCTGATCAGTAGCAAAGGAAATCAGCCTAGTCTTTGAGCTTCTGTGTTGGGAACAGATGGAAAGTTTTAACCATTGATTAGACTTTGGCTTTTTGTGTAGTAGAAGGTAGACTGTTCTAATACCCATTTTATTATGTAATTTTTTGAGTCAATGGCATACATGCACAAATATTATGTGGCTGGTGTGTAAATGATCACCCTTGTTAGATCTAAACTAAACACTATTCAAAGTGGAAGGCTGTTATGGAAGCCCAGGATTTGAAGTGCACACATTGCTTGTCTGATTTTGTTAGGAGCCAGCAGATGGCAGCAGTACAACACACAGTTCTATAGAGGCATTATACTTTCAAGTAAATTTTACCTGGGGGTTTTTAATCTTTAATTTTTGAGAAATGTCATTTGAGAAGAAGTGTGCTTAGGAAGTAGGAAGTGTGTCTTAGATAATAGGAAAAATATGTTTAAAATGCAATTCCATATATCATTATTTTATAAGATACTATGATTCATTTTAAGGTAATATCAGTTTCTTAATATTTAGGGGTTTTTTTCTGTCACAGTTTTTTTTCCCCATTTACATGAAAAGCTATGTTTTTTCTGCTACTAAGGAAGAATGTCATTTTGTGGTATCTCTAGGATCTAGTTACTGGATTTCATACATAAGTATATATTTATAAGACTGTGTCTTGGATTGACAGGTTCCAACTACTTATTAGTCCAGCCCCTTGTATGCAAGTATATTTATCTCTATGCCTGATTCTCAGCTTTTTTAAAAAGCTGAGTTAAGTAACAGCTGTTATCAGGTTAAAAAATAATAAAAGGGAGAGGTAAGTTCTTGGAGCTTTGTGTGTTTAATACAAGAAAGCTTCATTTTACATAATGACATTAATTAAACTATAATTGATTAAAATGCCTATTTTTAAAGACTCACCAGAAAAGATAAAGAGGAAGAAAAAGAGGACTGTCTTCCAAATGAATTTAATGGTTATTAGTGATGAAAGTATTTCTTCAGAAAAAAGATCACTTTCTTTTAAAAGGACAAAATTTTAAATGTCATTGTCTAGTAATTTTGACCATTTTTAAACTTCAATAATGCCCTCTTATAATGTACATATATTGGAAAAGTATGTCACTAATTCAAAGCTTCTTTGTTTATAAGAGGGCCCCAAATTCCTATTTAGAAATTTTGTATAAGTATGTACATTTTAGGTATTAATACTTATTTATAATGTCACTTAAATGTAGTATAGCTATATATATATATATGTGTATTGTTGTTTGTTTGTTTGTTTTTGCAGTACTGGGGTTTGAACTCAAGGACTCATGCTTGCTATGCAGATACTATGCTAGCTACTTCAGCCATGACTATGACTCAGGAACCTTAATTAAAAATATATTACAACCTGAAGAGAAACTGAGTATGGCAGTTGCAGTCAAAGTGTTTTTTTTTTTTTTTCCTTTCTTGGTAGGGTGTTATTCTAGAAATTGCATGGAGATCTGAGGAGTCATTTGTTCAGGAAAAACATGGCAGGCTGTTTCTTCTCTAGAAAATGTACAATAGAAAAAGAATACCAACTTTTGGAGAGGATTGACCAGGATTTGAATCTTGACCCTGACCTCTTCTAGCAGTGGAGTTTCATGCAAATTATTTAATCTTTTTAAATCTATCTCCTCAACATGGTATAATCATTGTAACTTCATAGGGTTCAGTGATGATTAAATGAGATGGCAAAAAAGCAAAGCATTTATTTAATATGCTTTCTACATTATAGTCAGTAAGTGTTCCATTAGTCAATGGAACTTTAAGTCCTTCTGCAAATCAGCTGTGAAATATTACCCCAGAAAGATTTTCAATACCCTTGATCATAGTATTATAGTAGTATTTTTGGTGAGGAAAAGGGAGGTGGGTGAAACCTGGATATTATTGATGACAGTTACATAAGGTATTATTATGAGGATACTTAGTAACACTGTCAGTGGAGGTTATTCAAAATAATTTAGTTTAGCATTTATAGAATAAAATTCATTATTTTAACTAACCCTTAACTCAGTTAAGCAAATATAACAGTCATTGGCATAAAAAGTGAGCATGTCTAGCTTTACATTGCTCTTACTATTCTCATTTTGCTCCTGAGTGGTGAGAGCCTGTCCATGGACCAGCAGCTACTGGCAGCTGAGTCTGTGGAGGGGGTACAGCTGAGCATAGTGGAGGCTGAGGGTTAGGTTTATGAACATCACTGCTAATCTCAGCTCTTGACAGCTGCAGCCGGACATGAACCCAATTCTAGTTTTGAGGTTTCTTATTTCTGCAAATATTCTGAGGCAACTTGGACATCACCATTTTAGTCTCCCCTCTCTTACTTCACAGCTTACAAAACTTATCCCTCAAGAAGAGCATAGCACAGCACAACATGTCGCATCTATGATGCACAGCGTGGTGTTTCCTCATATATCCTGAGTGTGAGTCCTTATCTATTCACATTACCACACAGGGGCCCAACAGAGCAAATCTTTTGTAACCTATGCACACCATATTTTCTTTGTGTTTTCTCATCCTGCGAAGCTAATGTCACATTGATCAAGTTAGAAGACTCACAAAGTCTGTATCATCCATTCATTCGTTCATCCATTCATTCATTTATTTGTTCATTGAATAAGCATTGCACCAAGTTCTGTGCAAGTGGTAAGGATATAGTAGAGGGCAGACAAGCACAGTCCCTTCTTGTAGGAGAGACAACATGAGAGAAACAAATACATAAATATGTAATTATAAAATGTGATGAGAGCAGTAAAAAAGTAAGGAGCACATAAAACCATAACAGATGAAGTGGTTAAGAAAAGCTTTCCTGAGAAGGTGTCATTTAAGCTAAGTAAGGCCCAGGAGATTCTGTAAGAGGCATTCATTGTTTTTGTCATTCTGGGTCAGTTTTCTTTTTTTCTGTTAACACCTGGATGGTCATCTTTGGGGTTTTCATTCATGGTGTCCTGAGGTGGATTCTGATTTGGTCTCTGTTTCAGAGCTGAGTTTTTTTCAGCAAAGGCACTGAATGTTTCAAGATGTGAGTTGTTTTTGTAGGTATTATTTTAACTAACCCTTAACTCAATTAAGTAAAGCACTGTGTATTCTTTTATGTTTTAAGTTAGTTAATTTTGATTTCACATTTATATACTTATCTTCATTCTATTAGATAGTGTACCAATTTATGTGCTAATTAGACTTCTATCTTCAGTCATGTGTAAACATTCATCTAAAAGAAAATGACTTGAAGCATTTATAATCATGTATGAAATGGAGAATAGTGATTTTGTAACCCTGCATTACTCACTAGATTAGATACAGTGAGGGGCATGTAGTGGACCACTGGAAATGTTTACTTAGAAACAATGTTTATTTGCTTGTTTATAAATAAGGTAGTCAAAGCTCCTTTATTGGAACCTCCAAGCTGGCTAACTCAAGACAAAGGGAGCCAGAAAATGAACAAGGCAATATATGTAAAGTATTTAAAGATCTAGTCCTAGAGATCATATACCATCCATGTCATCTACTGTATTTATTAGAAGGGTATCAGTAGTATAGCTCATAATTCAAAGCTGGCAGGAGATCTTACTAAGGAGGCAGCGATCAGGAGGATTGCAGTTTGAGGCCAGCCCAGGCAAATAGTTCACAAGACCCTATCTCAAAAAACCCTTCACAAAAATAGAGCTGGTGGAGTGGCTCAAGGTGAAGGCCCTGAGTTCCAGCCCCAGTACCACAAAAAAAGGAAGAAAAGAAACAACTACACTACAGATACTTGTTTTGTGTGTTTATGGATTAGTAAAGAGTCAGAAATTAATTTATTATGCTTCACTTCTTTTTAGGACACTGCTTTAGGAAAACCCCGGGAGGTGTTTCGACTTCCTACAGATTTGACAGCTTATGACAATCGACTTTGTTCATCCATCCATTTCACCTCATCCTCTTGGGTTACCTTGTCAGATGGGACTGGAAGATTGTATGTCATTGGAACAGGTGAACGTGGAAATAATGCTTCTGAAAAATGGGAGGTGAGGTTATTTTATTTTTAAGACTTATACAAAGTCCAGAAAATATGCAAATTAGGTGTTTCTTATTTTAAAGTAACAGTTTTCAAAAACAGTTTACATGTGTCCTTGATTTTCTAACATAATGATTTGGGTCTCCTTTTAATTAAATATAAAATATATTCCTTTTATACAGCTGATAATGTTAATCATTCCTGTTTTGAGGAATTGAATTGATTTTTCAGCAAATACTCAGGTTTTCTTTAATACAGAAAGTACTGCATTGCATTGCTGCATCCTTCTTGAAGAAGAGGTGGCCATAGCTTATGTTGAGATGTTTTTCTTCTCTGTGTTCATATTAGATTTGCTGATCTGTTTACACGAGGCAATTGTGAGTTTACCAGAACATTCTATACTTAGAAAAATACATTGTAATTTAACTATAATTATGTGATAATATATAAAGTGCCATTTTTACTTCAATGCCAAAAATATGAAGCAGATTTAAATCTGAGGAGTAAGTTAGGATTTTCATGGAAATAAATAAGGAATTAATTTCTCCAGAGCCTGTTTTTAAATGATACTGAGTAGAAAACCAAATGATTTATTGCTTTGACTACTTTGAATTATACTAATTATGTTGTAGTGTTTCTTCTATCTAAATCTCAGCAGGTAGATTTTAGTTTTGAGTAAATAAAGATATACAAGTGTAATATGTTTACACATTATAAAACAATTTTATCAGATCAACAGATATAGATAACAGGTTTTAATTACTTGAGAAAAACCAGGCAGAGCCTTGAAACCAGATGACTTACCTATCTTACTAAGTTTTACTAAACGGTATATTACCAAATTGCACTACATTCAAAATTAAAAAAAAAAAGAATAACCACAACTATATTTTTTTTTACAAGAGGCTGTTGCATTCACAATTTTAAATATGCATTGGATATTGTGACATTTTCTATTATGGCTTCCAGTAATAGCTTAAAAAAAATACTGAGGTATTGTGGTGTTCTTTAGAACAGAGAGCTAAAACAGTTGGAAGGATTTTTAAGAATGATGAACAAGAGAGATATAAATGAAAATTTATTATTTAGCTGTGTAGATGCACTTGGTTTTGAGCATGAAGAGAGAAACTGACCCAAGTCATTCTCAGCTTAAAAATAACACCAGATTCCACTACAAGTAATTCTTTTAGTTTCTGCTATGTATCTCCCCTTGATACAAATTAGGCCATCAATAATATTGGTAACCAATGAAAAATTTAAGTCTTTTTGGGGCTGGTAGAATGGCTGAAGTGATAGAGTACCTGCCTACTAGCAAGCATGAAGTCCTGAGTGCAAACCTCAGTGCCACCAAAAAAAATGAAAAGAAACAAAGTTCTAGGACTTTGAGAGAATTAGTGGAATTAATGTAGCAAAAGGAAAGCTAAAGGCAGAAGTGATTAAGGGGCATGGTAAGGAATAAGGAGCCAAGGACGGTGGTGATGAGTAAAGCAAGCATAGAAAGAGAAACTAAAGAACGTAGGGAAGACTGTCTACTTCCTAAATGTGTTGCTCTAATATGATGGGGGTGTGAGTTATCAACAGGGTCATAGTTGAGATTCTAGAAGACTAGAAACTTCAGCCTAACAACTTTTAAAAGTCCTCTTCTAGTTTCATTCTAGTCCCTATCCCTCATAGTAGAAAGAGAAAACAATAATAATTAAGCTGCTTAGACCTGCCAAAACTTAGCCTTTTCTCTTTTTGCTTTTAGTTTCATCTCTTTGCCAAACAAAAGCATCTGTCTTCTCAGTTTTGAGTATTTGAGGGTTTCTGGTATTCTGTTTTTCTGTTTGTGGAAATCTTTTGAGTGAATTACAAACACCTACTATTTGAATAATTTTGGCAAAAGTATTTCAACTCATAGGGAAATTGGTGACATTATAGCTGACTTTTTGTTTTCTACTTTCTAGAAGCCTTTTAAATATAGTTTCATTATTTTTTTGAGTTACCATACATTAATAATACCAGGGAGCTTCATTGTGATAATTCCATACATGCATACAGTGTACTTTGAACAAATTCACCCCCTCCATTATATTCCTATTCCGCTCTTTTTCCCACTTTTTTTCTAACAGTATTTAGTGAGTTTTAAACTGTCGTGTGTGTGTGTGGCATACTTTAATCCTTCTTACCCCTCAGTATCTCTTCTTTTCCTCCTCCCTCCTTCCATTAGTCCCCCCATATCATCTCCCTATGATGATGATGGTGGTGATTACTACAACGCTTTCAAGTAGGAGCAGATATGAGGGGACTCCAGATGTAGGTTTAAAAAGAACTAACTTGTTTTTCACTTTTGTTAATTTTTTCACTTACTTGTAAATCTTGTTTAGAAATCAGTCTTAAAAACCTCTATTTAGTATTTACTCTAATGAAAATATGATAGCTTTTTAGGTCTTGTGTTTATGGTACAAAAATTTTGATAGAATTCTATGTGTTTTTGGATTTGCTTGGGGTGGGCAACTTCAAGATTATATTTTGAGTAGTTTGTTGAATTATCTTTTAAATGTAAATGGGCTCTTTAGTTTTTTAAGATTAAGAAGGTTTTAGTGATTTGTTCTTTGTAAACTTCTGGGAAATGAACAGAAAATCAAGTGAAAACGATAGGAAAAAAAGCATACATGCTCAGGACTCTACTCAGTATCCAGAAACTAAGAAGAAGAAAGCAGAAATAAATCATATTTGAGATGGGGAAGAGATGATGAAGGAGTGAACCCTGACCTGCCTCTGCCCCTCTTTTTGTGTAGAATAGTTTTTCCCTTATTCTTTTTTTATGAGATTGCTTTTAGTTCTCTTTCTTGTTTAGATGCCATTTGGATGCCCTGTTACTTTCTTTGTTTTGAAGCCAAGAGTTACTGATCAGTTTTCTTTGTTATACAAATAGATATTTTTTAAGTTCTTTCCTTCAGGAACATTATTTAAACTTACAGTTTATATTTAAAGTACTTTCTACTTTTTGATTCCTTTTAAAACTAGTATCTAAAATAATTATTGGATTGTTAGAATTTTATATATGTTATAGGCATTCATGTACACATTTTTGTCTGTGTAATTTTATTATAGATTATGTTTAATGAAGAACTTGGGAATCCTTTTATCATAATTCACAGTATCTCATTGCTAAAATCTGAAGAACATTCGATAGCTACCCTACTTCTTCGAATAGAGAAAGAGGAATCGGATTTGAAAGGAAGTGGTTTCTATGTTTCTTTGGAGTGGATCACTATCAGTAAGAAAAATACAGGTAAAAATGGAACAAAATTATGAATTGCTATATTTAATTACCATCATTTAGTAGGTTTTGAAATGCAGATTTATTCCCGTAAATGCAGTTTGCTTTTTATTGGGCATTGTGTTAGGATTCTAGCACCTTTTCTCTTCTTAATGTCTACTCCCAACCCTATTACTAATATAATTGTTACTCTTTTAATTTTTTTCTTTGAAGTTATGTTTTGGATAGGACTTTCATTTTTGTCCAGGGTTGGTCTTGGACTGTGATTTTCCTACCTTGCCTCCTGCATAGCTGGGTTCTATAAGTGCACGCCACCATGCCCAGCTTATTTTTTGAGATGGGCCTCACTTAACTTTTTGACTGGATTTTACTTCAAAGTGTGTCCGCACAATCTTCGCCTTCTAAATAGCAGGGATTACTGGTGTGTGCTGCCATGTCCAGACTCTTAATTTTTAATTAACACACCAGAGCAGTGTTTTGAGAACAACACTGAGAAACTGTTGAGTACAACATTGTATAAATTGTATTTTGTGTCAGTTAAAGTTTGAAAATGAGAACATATGATATCCCTATTACATACTAAACATATTAAGGCTTCTAAAAATTTGAGTAAAAGAGAAAATTTAATCCAGCATTTCCAAGCTTATTTAATGATGGACTCCACTGTTTGACACCTACTTGTTATTTTCTGTCTTATACATGTTAGAAAAAGTCAGCTTTTAAAATATATAATGCCTATGTTTGGTCTTTAAAGATAGGTAAGACTGCCCTGCAAGTACCTATGGAGAAAGTATAGGAGTTTTTAGTTCGTTCATGAAATTACAAGCCTGTTTTTAAATATGTATAAATTGAATGTATGAATGTAGGTGAGAATTAAGAGTAAAAACAATGACAGATGTTTTAGAACAGATTGTATTATTATGTTAATTCATAATAGTGAGTTGGTTTTTAACTACTCAGTTTGAAGTTTACAAATACAAACCATGATGTAAATAAATGTGTGGACTCAGCTGAATTTGTGATTACTTCTTAAGAAATAACCTGTCTTTACAGGAGAATAAATGTAGTTAGTCTATCAAAAACTTAGGATACAGTTGTTTATATCTTAAAGCACTATTATTTATGTTTGATTATGGAAGTCATTTAAATTTACCATTGTGTACAAAAATCATTTCTGGTATGTTTCATTTAAGAAACCCTTTTTAAAGTAGTTAAAACCGGCAGAAAAATAGTTCATACCACACCTTTTCCTTTATTCAGTTGTGGCTCTTTCCAGAAGATGCCTATCATATACCTACTGGGAAAGCAGACGGGCCATAGTCAAGGGAAAAGTAGGGCTGTGAGGAGCTGGTATTCTAGGTACGTCAGTCACTGAAGACCCTGAACTCTGCTGTCCAATAGAAAGTTCTGCAAAATGGATATGATTTATGTCCATTTACCACAGTAGCTGCTAGCCATCTGCAGATGTTGAGCAATTTTAATGTGGCTAAGGTGACTGAGGAGTTGAATTTTACACTATACTTAATTTTAGCTATATAATTATATATATAATGTATTACCACATTGGGCAACACAGTTTAGAGCAAATTTATCAGACCCAGTCATTTAAAACAGGGACCTATTTATAAAGAAAAAGATTCTTTTGGCAGTACTGGGGTTGTAACTCAGGGCCTCACACTTCTAGACAGGTGCTGTACCTCTTGAGCTGTGCCGTCTTCACAATGAAAAGATTCTTAATGTGCCTTTTAATAATACATTTAGACTAGGTAGTTGTAAAAAATTAATAGTCACATATTTTCAGGCTATCTTTATAAGACATTGTTGATAATGTTTTGCTCTAAAATACTTTCTTATAGAAAATGAAAGATATGAAATTACTAAGCGTGATCTTCTCCAAGGAAAGTCAGTACCACATTATGCTGCTATTGAGCCCAATGGAAGTGGTCTGATGATCGTCTCCTACAAGTCTTTCAAATTTGTTCAGGCTGAGCAAGATCTTGAAAATATCAATGAAGACATGTCAAGGGAAAGCAAAGGTGATTTTACCTTAATCTTCATAGAGCTCATGTGTATGTATGTATGTATGCATGTATGAATAAAGGTCATGTTTTAGGATGAGAATACTAACATGGTCTTTCAGAAGCCAATTTTATTTGTACATACACAATAAATAGTCTTTTAAAGCTATTTAAGAAAATATTCTCTCTGTAATCACTGCTGTTCATATTTCTGATGTTCATATCCAGGATAGTATATTTTGTTTATTAGATTTTGTTTAAACTTAACAATTATACATATTATTCTTCGAATTTACTTTTTTCTTTTTTCCTTTATTTATTTATTTATTTATTTATATATTTATTTTTATTGTTGTCCTGGGTGTGGTACATTGTGGCATTTTCAAAGGTTCTTACAATGTATTAATTATATTATTCGTTTTCTTAAATGACTTAAAGTAAAAATTAGCTTCCCTATTTTGTACATTTAAAAATTCTTTGAAAAGTATTTTTAAATGCTTATGTAATAAATATTTTAAAATATTTTCTCCATGTTTAGAAATTATGCACCTCAGAAAAAATATACTTGTTGGCTTTTAGCTTAGTCTCTTACAGCTTTATTTCTTTATAAGTAGTATATATTTTGTTAGATTATCTCTGACTTCCACTGTTAGGTCTTGACTTTATGAAACTCTGCTAAAGCTTTTCCAGAACAAGTATTGCTATCCTTAGACCACATATCCTTTAGAACTCCTTTTTGAGCAGATGTGAAGAAAGAAAGGCATGAGTTCCTTGATCCTTGGAACCACTTTGCCTAGATACCTATAGGACCACGTAGTTCAAAGACAAATTGCAGCCTAAGTAGAACATAGCATGTTTAAGTCATTAACTACCAATCTAAGTATTATTTTTCTAGTTCACATTCATGTTATATTTTGAAACTCATTAATTTTGTCATAGCATTTTCATAATAATTAAATAAAGTGTATTTTTTTTAAACTATAAGTAACTTATTTATTTTGGTGGGACTGGGGTTTGAACTCAGGGCATTGCACTTGCAAAGCATATGTCCTACCACTTGAGCTACACCTCCATTCCATTTTGTTCTGGTCACTTGTGGAGATGGGATCTCCAAAGCAACCAGCAACTAAGAAGATTATTTACATATTTGTGTATTTTTAGTGAGGAGGTGATTAAAAAATGCTTGCTTTTCCCTTAGTCTGCTTCCATGACTTTTTATACTAAAAGTTCATGTGGTTTTACAGGCTTTTCAAAATTACTTTGTTTACTTTTCAGGGAACCTATTTTGCATTCATTTCAACTAGGAATCCATTCTATGTGTATGTGTAAGAGAAAGAGGGAGAATAGGGATAAAGGATGGCTGTCAGTAGTGTTTTATGAGTGCTTATTTCCAGGAGCATCAGGTAAGCCTGGACCAGGATAATGTCAAGTATAATTGCTGTAAGTCTGAGTGAAAATTCCAGAAGAACACTATGCGTGTTTGTTTATGATTGCTTTTTCTATGAGATGATCGCTACAAAACATGTTCTTTTATATCTTCTACTCTCTAATTTGGTATGTTGTAACCTCACTTTTATTACATAGTGCATTTTTCTTTTCCCAGGAGAACCTCTGTATTACTGGCAACAGTCTGAAGATGATTTGACAGTAACAGTACGACTTCCAGAAGACAGTTCTAAGGAGGACATTCAAATACAGTTTTTGCCTGATAACATCAAAATTATGCTGAAGGGTCTCAGGATTTTGGAAGGAAAGCTGTATTCATCCATCGATCATGAAAGCAGTACATGGATAATTAAAGACAATAATAGGTATTTTTTTTGTTTTTACAGTCTTATAATTGAATTTTGCCTTTTTTCTTTTTTTATTCCATAGTAGTCATATCAAAGATGAATACATTTCATAGTTTTGTCTGGCCAGCTGAGTTTTTTTGTAAGATAGGTTAAAAATAGAATAACTATATCAAAGAGCATAATTGTAGTTAAAATTAAATATATTGGCATGGTTAGGACTTGCAGTATATAGTAGTGCTTTTCATTACAACTATAGGTAAAGTAATAATGAAATGTGAAAATGGTTATATTAGTTTTTACTCTTCAATAATACATTTCCATTTTTTAAAAATTTAAAACATATTAAAGGTATGATGTGAGAAATCTCTCTCCAGCCCAGGTTCACCAGTCACCCATTCATTCTCCCACTCTGCACAGATACTGTTCATAGTTTCCTTTCTGAGGTCTTATATGTGTATTCTAGCAACACATTTATTTCTTCCTTTTTTTAAAGAGAAAAGTTTTTGACACATACTATACACAATTATGTATTATGCTTTTGTTCATTTTCATCAGTAACTGTTAAAGGTCTTTCCACTAGGTATACATAACAGTTTTTAATATTTTTTGTGTCTTTATAATAATTTTACTCAATTAACTGCACCATCATTTAAAAAATGTGGTTCTCTATTGTTGTACATTTAAACTGTTTCCAATCTTTTGCTATGGTGACTATTTCTATATATAATTTTGCATGTATAAATATATAAATAGATAGATGGGTACACGTATGAACAATAAATTTCTACTCATGGAATAATATTTCCTTCAGAATTGTGGTAAATAAGTTTTGTTTCAATGAAAATTGACTAATTACATTTTTTTTATGAATTGTGTGCTTAGGACACACAAAAAGCATAAACCAGTGTCTGGCACAGTGGCTCACTTTTGTAATCCTAGACACTCAGGAGACAGAGATTGGGAGGATCACAATTCAGACCTGCACAGGCATAGATGAAACCATAATCAAAAAATAACTGAAGCAAAAAGGGCTGGAGGTGGGCTTAAGTGGTAGAGTACTTGCTTTGGAAGCTCAAGGTCCTGCGTTCACTCCCTACCACTCATCAAAAGACTAAACACAAAACACACAAAAGAAATACATGATAAATTGGACAATCGAAAAATTTTCCACACATCAAAGTTGAAAAGTTTTGCTCTACTAAAGATGCCTTAAAAAAAGCAAAACTACAAAACACACAGTAAAAAAAAATATTCATAGTACTCATATCCAGACCTGCATTCTCCATATATAAGGATCTCTACAAATCCATATTTAAAAGACAACACAGTTGTAAAACTTTGTTAACTGATTTGAATGGACACATCACAATAGAAGTTAAATGACCAGCTAGTACACACATGAGAAGGAACCATCATCAGTCATGAGAGAAAGTGAAGCCAGAATGAGACACTGAAGTATTGCTAAAACATTATTGAATGTTGGTGAGGATTTGGATCACCAACAACTCATGCATTGCTGTTCTGAATATAAAATAATGCAGACACTTTGGCAAATGTTTAGTAGTTTCTTACTGAGTTAGACATATTGTAGCCCAGCAGTTTTGCTTAATGTTTACCAATGAGAAATGTTGATAATAAAGCAAAGTCAAAATTTTCAATAAACTAATTCATAGCAGCTTTACTTAGAAAAGTCAGATACTGGACACTACTCTAATGTTCATGAAAAGGTGAGTGAATAAAGATGTAGTGTTTATACAATGGAATGGTACTCTAATAAAAAAAAATTAAGAGTTACTGATGAACACAGCAAGTGTTCAAAACGTGGCGTGAAAGAAGCCAGAGCACAAAATTATATGATATGTAATTTCACATAAGCAGTAATAGAACTAGCAAATGTAATCACTGTTGATAAAAATCAGAAACAGTGTTTACCACTTAGGGTAGGAGGATTGATTGGAAGAGGGTACAACAGAGCTTCCTGGGTAGTATATGTATGCATTTATTAGCTCAGTAAACTTGTCAATTTTGCTTACAAATTGTACTTCAATAAAAGGGATGTAAATTTGTTTTTAAAATAAGACTAACAGGGTTAAACATCTTATAAAACTTTGATTCTCTGCTTTTACTGCCAGATACTTCACTCCTCAATCATTTGAGTTAATGAAATTATTTATTTTCACATAGATCAAGTCTTAGTAATTACTGAATTTAGATTAATGAGTAGTGTTAGGCACTTTATTTTTTTAATGGTGAATTTGATTAAAAAATGGGCAATTGACTGATTTAAAGAACACCCTGAATTACTTGGTTTAGGTTAATGTTGCATATAGGATATTAGATATTTTTAAGTAAGATATAGTTCTTGATTAATAGTGTCTTACTTATATGAGTCTAACATGAGTCTTAAGTCATGAGAGTCTAAAAAATCCCTAGTTTAAAGGAAATTTCAAGTGTTAAAAGTAGGTTTGCTAAATTTATTAATTGTGACATTTGGTGAGTCAGTTACATTTTCTAATACATGAAAAACAGTTATCTGAAAGGTATCTGAAACACAAAATGTTTTGTTATTTCTACATATTCCATTTAATCATGTTTATGAATATGTGAGAGATTTGAGGGTAGCATTATAAATTGGCAAACCAACCCAGAACGTACTGTTAAATGTAAATGTAAGTCATTGAGCAGTAACCCACGAGAGGTCTCCAGTAATAACTAGACTACATACCAACAGTTTTGACATTCAATACAAGAACATGGGCCAGTATTCTCTCAGTAAATTTGAATTGTGTGATTATTATTTTGTGTTATAAAAGATAATTAAAATGAGGTGTAGGTGTTAGGTGGCTTAAAAAACACAATTTTCTGTACTTGATTACATTATTCATATCTTTCATTTTCAAATAGTTAAATGTTCTTTCTCACTTTGGAAGGATTTGTTTAGTAGTCTGCAGTCATGCATGGTGTATCTGTTCTGCTTGGATAGTAGGATGATGCTAGATTTAAAGTATAGAAATGTAGTTATGCTAAAAGGGCTGCATTGCCTAGGTATCCAGAATCTTTTTAGGTAGTAAAAAGCATATTTTTATATTCTGATCCCTGGGGAAAAGTTCTTTAATAGTTATTTACATATATTTTTTCAGAGAGGCAGAATAGTGCAGTAGTGAAGAACATGGACTTGGAACAAGACTGCCTTACTAGCTTGTGAACTTGGCAAGTTATTTAACGTCTTAGTGATTTCTTTCCTTACTTATAAAATAAACATGGTAATAATACTTTTATTTGGTTGTGGTAAGCAGTAAATGATTTAAAACGTGAAGTGCTAAAAATAGCACCCGTCATCTGGTAAAGCATTAGGTAAATATAAACTGCTGTCATTTTCATTCATCATCATCATCAAGATTATCCTGTTTCTTAGAAAATACAAGTAAATCTGTGCATTTAATGATTGTGGTAATTTTCCATGCTAATGATAGGAACTCCTGTTACATGAGAGGTATCATTTTGTATAGTCTCTTGAAATACATAGTTTCAGAAATTTTTAAATGCAATAATTAATTCATGAGGTGGTGACAATAAGAGCCTTGAAAAAGAATGGCTAAATTTGCATGTTCTATTTGATTATTATAATAGTTATCATTGTGTTCTGGCAGTTGTTTGCTTGCAGTTGTGTTTGAGGGCACAGGTTAGTGTGGTGCATATATAACAAATATGGCACATGGAAAAGGCTGTTTGGCCATGAAACAGCTGCCACCACTGCACTTTTCTTCCTGTGACAGCAGTGGCCATTCATAGTGTGTCTTGCTTGCATTTCCCCTCCTATTCCAAAGGAACATAGGCCAGCTGCCCTCTTCTTGTGTCCACGGCCTGTTCTGACTCAGCTGTTTCCCTTTCCTGCTGCCTCTGTTTTTGATCTCAGGGTTCTCTGACAGCCCCTCTTTAGTACATTTGGAATTTCTGTTTAATGACTTAAATGTCCAGAATTAGATTTTAAATCTAATTGAGAATAGTTAATAGAGACCACATTAACATTTTTATTGCCTATATTACCAAGTTTATTTTTCTAATTCCTGCATTTCCTTTCAATTCTTTAAAAGCCAAATTTTAAAAATTAACATTGCATTGGCTTAACCTGCATGATCTTTTCATTAATAATTATGTATGTTTTATGGCTGTTTGTGAAAATAAAGTCTCCAATTATAGGTCCTTTCCTTGCTTTACATCCTCCCTGCCCCACTCCCCAATGTTTCACAGTTCTGTGCTCCTTGTATTTCCATTATTTACAGTTAGTAACACATTGCACACCTGGACTACAGCAATACTTTCTAGGTATTCTTACTTTTTCCCAGTCACTCCCCTCTGTAAGCCATTTTATGAACCATTTCGAGTAGTACTTTCTCATCTGATTATGAAATATAGGTTATTTGACCTTGAATTTCAGGTTTTCTGTCACATGCAAAATTAAAATCAAAAAAATATTTGGGATAACAGATGGTTACTTACTGTAAGGAATCCTTCTGTTTGTTGTCGGCTGTATAATTTGTATAGTTACTTCATGTGACATCACTTTTCTCACTTAAATATTTAGCTTGGAGATCTCCTTGATTAAGAAGAATGAAGGACTGATGTGGCCAGAGCTTGTTGTGGACGATAAACGAGGGGAACTTATAAGAGACTCAGCCCAGTGTGCTGCAATAGCCGAACGCTTGATGCATTTGACTTCTGAAGAACTGGTAAGCAGTTGCAATAGTAGCGGGACTTTCCACGAATCCACAATTATGCTATGTAAGGATTATGTTATGACCTTCAAACATTACTTTGCCTTTCCTAATATAAAAGACACAGATCAGTTTACCATTGACCTAATTAAATGTATTCATATGACTTAAAGTTCTAATGTTTATTTCTCACGCTATAGGAATATACATACATGTGTAAGCCTATTGTGTAGGGGGTGAGGTGTGTATGTATGTATGTATCTGTCCACATATATTCTGCTTTAGAAAAGTGAACCGGCCATTGATGACAGGGACATAAATTATAATTTTACCTTCTATATGCTAATAATCTGCTCCCCTCACTGGAATTTTCTAGGTGATCGTAGTATGTATATATATGTACTACTATATATATGTCATGTATAGTACAGTTATTTTTGTATTGATAAATTCCTTGTAATGATTGTGATGACCATGCAATACCTATTTAGCCATGAGGTTGAAAATGTTCCAATGACTTGTAAGATCATGTTGAGAATTCAACAAATACAGCAATGCATAAGAATGTCAGTTATATATGCTCATTTGCAAAATTATATCAGCATATATAAAGTGTCTGATTTATTGCATCTTGGATTATAGTGATGAGGAAGACCATTTGAACAATTATTTATCCTGTAAGGTTAGCTGCATCCTAAGATGGAAAACAAAGATTGGAATATTCACAGTGAATGTTATTTGTCAAAAGGAAGCATGACCAAAGTAGAGAAACCAAGTTTCATGTTTGCCTGCAGTAATTGAAAATTTCAGGAAGCACTGGAATTTAAAAATATTTTCTTAGTTCTTTTTACAATTTATTCAGCAACTACTTACTATGACATGCTATGAGAATAAAATAATTGTACACTAGTACAGACTTGTTTTGAGATTATAGATAATTCTTCTAACACTTTTCAGTGGGTTTTTTGTTGTTTTGCAATGCTGGGGATTGAACCCGAGGCCTTATGTGTGCTAGGGAGGGGCTACATCCCCTAGCCCTTCCTAACTAAAATATCTTTTAAGCTTGATGATGTTAAAGGACTATTGATAATTATGAGAAAGTTACTGAAAATACTAACATGGAATCTTGTCATCTACAATTGAAGGCAGCTTTGTGTTATTAAATCATTGCCTTTGTACAATGCTTAGAACCTCTGTTGCACTGTAAATAGAACGGTACATGGGGAAAGACATTTTGGAACAGATTGTGTAGAATTGGATTTTTTTTTTTTTTAATGGTCTAGGCTTGGGGGTTTCTTTTTTGAAAGACTTTTAGCTATGAACTTGACTTTAAATAAAGGACTATTTTGAGTGTCAGTTTCCATTGACCATCCTTTTTCAGTTTTCACTTTCTTCATCTTATGTTACTAATTTATTTTCTCCTTTTTGCTTACTTTGGATTTATTTTGTTTTCTGTTTTTGAAAGTGATCACTTCACTGGTTGATTTTTTTTTTTTTCTTGAACCTTCCTTTTGTAATGAAAGCTGTGCTATAGTTTGGATCTTAAATGTCCTCCAAATGCCTATATTTTAAACATTTGGTCCCCAGAGTGGCATTTTTGGAGGTGGTAGAAACTTTAGGAAGTGGGGCCTAGTGCAAGATCTTTAGGTTATTGGGAGCATGCCCTAAAAGGGAACATGAGACCCCAAGCCCCTCTCCTCTTCCTCTTTCTGCTTCTTCCCATAGGCCCAAAGCAGCAGGGCCAACCAATCATGAATTGTAACCTCTAAAACTGAGCCAAAATATACCTTTTCTCTTTATAAATTGATTATATTAGCTATTTGTTATAGTGACAGAAAGCTGACTAACACAAAAACATTTAGTGCTATACATTTCTTTCCAAACACTGCTTTAGCTGGGTTCTCCAAATTTTCAGCTCATCTTAATTCAGTCAGGGATTGATTTGATTTGATGTTGCCTTTCAGTCTTTTACTTGACTGACTTATTCCTTGTCTATCCTTATTAAGGTCAAACTTTTCACTGACAGCCTAGGGTAGTTACTGAGGTTGTCCTGTGCATCTCTTGAACTCTAATTTTTGTCCCCTAAGCATTTAGGTAATATCCAAGCACAGCTTGTTTAGTCCCTTATCTGCTCTCCTCTACCTGTCTTTTCTCCACTCAGCTTGGAAATCAGGAGTTGAGAGCTATTCCCTTTCTTTATAATCTGGTCTTAAGTACTGGCTGCCTTTGGTAGTCATGAACTTTAAAATTTTGAGCTTCTGTCTCTAACATATGGATTGTTTGAAGGAGGAGGGAAAAAAGAATGCCTTCTGTTTTCTGCTGGACATACATAATTCCTTCAGTCACTGTGACAAAGCAGCACTAAGAGATTGTGTAATTGCTTTTTCAGTCAACCACAACAACCTTAATTGTTCCTATTGATATGTAGACTGTAGCCTACAGTCAGCCACAGCTGGCTGGCTTCATATCCTAGCCGAAATATGGACAGATTTTGATTACATAGATCCTCTACAACTCCCAGCCATTTAGTTTCATGGGCTCTCAGGTCACTTCTTTAAATTCTAAATCACATGGCTATATTTTGGCATGTTAGGTGTATATACATTTGATCAATTACTGAATTTTTATATATGTTTTGTATAAGTTATTGCTTAATTATTATGTTCTTAATATTCTGTAAGATACACAAGACCAAGATCTCTAGATCTTTGCATTTCAGCAAGGGAACCTGTGAAGATTACTTTTGTAATTACATTTATCTCTACTTTTGCTTATTAGCCATCTATTATTAGTTGTCTGTTTTTGTTTGGGTGTGGGGGGGTGGTAGTAGAAATAGTAGTTGTTGTAGATTATACATCTTTGTCATCCTCAAATTATATCATTTCACTTATTTAGGAACTTACAGTGTATTTCCATATATTATGGAAATTATATTTCATATTACTATCTTGTTTTATTTCTACGTTATAAACCTCATAACACTTTTTTTAGCATTAACCAGTTTTCTTTTAAAGATATTAAAAATGAGAAAATGTTTTTCAAATTTGCTGTTTCTTCTGTTCTACATTCTTTTGTGTTGATTGGAATTTTCATCGGAATTTTCCTACCTGAAGAACTTCTTTAGCATCTATTACAGGTCTACTGGTGATAAATATAAATTCTCACAGTTTTTGTTTGTCCGTAAAAACATTTACGTAGTCTTTTTTTTCCTGTTACTTTTCTTGTGTATATTATTCAGTGTTAATAGTTTTAGTTCTTTGTTTTTCCTGTCAGAACTTTAAATATGTTCCATTATATTTTGGCTTGTGTTAACTTCTAATGAGAAGTTAACTGTCTTATGTATCTTTCCTTGACTATACATGATGTATACTTTTTTGTCCCCTGACAATTTTTAGAATTTTTTCTTGTTTTTTATAGCAATCTTATTATTGTGACTTGCCATGATCTTTGATTTAAAAAAAAAAAAAAAGTTTACTATGCTTGGGGTTATTTGACCTTCTTAAATCTCCGTGATTCAGTTTTTATTAAACAATTTTGACCCATTTCATTTTTTCCCTTTTCCAGCTTTTTCCCAATTACCCATATGCCCGTATGTTAGACTGTTTGATACTGTTCCACAGATCATTGGGGTGATGTCAGAGGGGTTTTTTTTTTCCTTTATGCTTCATTTTAGACAGTCTCTTGCTGTTTCATGATCTCTGAGTTTTACTTTTGTAATGTCTGTAATCAGCTGTCAATCCCATGTTTTGTTTTGTTTTGTTTTCATTTCAAACATTATATTTTTATATCTACATGTTCAATTGGTTCTTTCTTTATATCTTCCAAATCTCTCTCTCTCCACACACTCACACCTTCATGTTTCCCTTTACATCTTTGAGTATATGAATAGCTAACTCCATCATTCTGTCATCTCTTATTTTTGTTAATTATGATTTTTGTTGGCCATGGGTCTGAAATTAGTTTTTAATTATTGCTATAATGATAACATTTTAAGGAAGAAAAGTCCATTTCATTATTGTTTTTTTTTTTTTTTTTACTTTTTTTTTGGCCTTTAAGAATCCAAATCCAGATAAAGAAAAACCTCCTTGCAATGCCCAGGAATTAGAAGAATGTGATATTGTCTTTGAAGAGAGCTCCAGCTTATGCAGATTTGATGGTAGTACATTAAAAACTACTCATGTGGTAAGTCTTTTTTTTTTTTTTTTTTTTTTGGTTTGTTTGTGGGTGGGGTTTTTTGTTTGTTTGTTTCAAGAGAGGGTCTCATGAACTATTTGCCTGGGCTAGCTTTGAACCATATTCCTCCTGATCTCTGCCTCCTGAGTGACTAGGATTATAGGAATGAACCACTGGCACCCAGCTTGTATGGTAAGTTGTTAATAGTATTATTTCTAAAAATTTGTGAATAAATGGAAGTCACTCAGGTGATAATTGAGTTACCAAATATATGATTTACAAACGTACCTATTGGAGCCAGATGTCTCTAATCTCAGCACCTGGGATGCTGAGGAGGAAGGATTGCAAGTTTGGAGCCAACCCGGGCTTCATAGGGAGACCGTGTTTCAAAACTAGCAAAATAAATAAAAAAAACAACAAGGGAAAAACCAAAACACTTTGATTGGTACTTATTGGTTGCAATAAATCTCATTATTCCATAAAGTAGCATCATTCCCTGCACCAAACCCAATTGTTGTTTTGGTACTGTTGCATATTGGTATTTTTCAGTTGGCTTTTTTTTCTGTGATGGTTTTTATATATAGTTGTGACTAATTTGTAGTAACTTTATGACTGCTTTTTTCATTGGACATTAGGACATTTCCTCATGTTATTTCAGCTCCTACTTAAATGGTTGGAATATACTATGTTATTCTTAGGAGGTGTTTATTTAGTGGATACATTCTAGTATCTCTCTTAATAACTTTTTAACTTCATTTTTCATGATTCTGCTATTGTTTTTAAAAATTCCTTTATTACATGAAACCATTTTATATTGTCTGATATTCAATGAAGAGTTCAGAAATTAAATCAGTAGACTAAGCCTCTGAGAAACTGATTTCTACTTTATATTAGTAATATTTTCAGTTACTGCCTATTTCACTGCATGTTTACCTGCACTTTCAGTTTTCTGTTTGGTCTATACTAATTGGTATGCAAGATACAAGATTTTATTTTAGTCTATATTTTTTAATGGTTGACTTGCATATATTAACTATATTATGAAGAATTTTTTTATTTGTCTTAGTTTTGTTACTGATTTGTATGATTAGTTTTAAACTTGAAAAACCCTTCTATATGAAGTAATTTAATTTTTTTTTTCCATTTTGGAATGTTTTTATTCAGCTCCTTAAATCATCTGGGATTTTTTTTTCCTACTCTGGTGGGTCATAAGTATATGATTTCTTTCCCCTCAGAACTATATTCTGCATAAAAGCTTTGAGAAATGTACATGCAGCAAAAGAATGTTGCCTGCAGTGGCTCAGTTTAGCCAGTGTTTGGTCCACAGCTTTACAAAGATGTAGATGTAGATTTTTAAATTTAGAAACACATTGGATATTTTTACATAGGGAATCCCTAATCATTGGTTAATGCTACTGGTCCAAGTTCGATGTTTTATAGTTGTTTATGTGGGAAGGATCTCCATAGCAAATCAGTGACTAATTTGGAGCTGTGCATGTAGAAATTTAGTTGCATTGCCAAAATCAGAAGTGATGGGACTTTAGGAGTCTCAGTCCAAGCAAAAGGAGCAATAGAAGCTGGGCACCAGTGGCTCACACCTGTAATCCTAGCTATTCAGGAAGCAGAGATCAGGATGATTGAGGTTCGAAGCCAACCCAGGCAAATAGTTTGTGAGACCCTATCTTGAAATAAGCCATCACAAAAATGGCTGGCAGAGTAGCTCAAGGTATAGGCCCTGAATTTAAGCCCCAGTAACACCAAAAAAAAAAAAAAAGGAGTGAGAGAGAAAAATTTGGTCTTTTCTTATTCTGTTTTTAGACTTCTGAGAATAGGATTTAAGGTTCTGTTTTCAAAAAACATCTTAAAAATTTCTGCCAGATTTTAACCTAATCAGAATTGAGGAAGAAGTATAATACATAATAGATAGTCCTTCTAACTTTGAAGAAACTCTATAGGTTTGTACAACTATTTTATCTTCATTTTATAGATAATTAGGGCAAGCTAATGGATAGGGTTAAATGAGATCACTAATAGAGCCAATATTAGAAACTAGGTCTGTGGACTTCCAGTATGCTTGGCCATGATTTTCCCTAAACACTAGTACCATAAATTTGAATTTGGAGATTCTAGGTCACTACAGTCAGTACCTACTTCAAAGTAAAATGCCTCTAAAGAACATGAATGATAGACTTGTGTGATAAGCAGGTTCTATCTTCAGAAAAATAAAGAAATTATACTAACAGTCTCTTTGTACCATAACTCTTAGAGACAATATTTAGTGAAACATTTATAGCAATTTTTATGTACTTTTTAACTTTTTAGTCACAATTTAGTGTTTTGATTGCTGGTTTAAGTCTAATTAGTATATAATTAACACTGAATAATCTTATCTTTGTTTCAGTTGGGTTAAATTTAAGGCCACAATTTACTTTTAGAATATCAGAACTTTGATTTTCCTATTATTAGTCATTTTTATAAATACAGACAAAAATACAGTGAAGTAAGAATGCATAAACATTGCTGTTCAGATATAATTAGGGTAGTAGAATAAACATAAGTGGAATGGCTCTAATAAATAGTACTAAGTTCATCTTCATTCTAAATACAAATTTAATATTACAATACTACATAAACCTTAATGTAAACTTGCATAAATATAGCTTTATTTATAAAGCTATAACAAAAATAGTTTCTGGTGTACCCAAGAGGGTACCAGTTGGCTTGTCATTGGAGGAAGAGAATTAAGGAGGCTATGATGCTTGGATGTGTTTCAGTGCATATATTTAAGGAACCAAGCCAGATATTTCACAGAGAATTTATATTTTAAGTCTGACATCTGTCTGCCATGTTTATTTAAAGTTCTTTCTTCTTGATTTCATTTGTCTAGACTTTGGACAATCTTAACTTATATGGAATGGTCAGTATACATCCTTACAGTTTTAGAAAAGATACTTAGCAAAAAGATCAGAACATTATATTTTAAATGACAAATTCCCCAAAATATACATGAAAATAAGAATAAGTATTTTAGTAAATGTTTATCGTTTTAAATTGAAATGATGGATTAGATATATTTAGTTAAGTAAAATATATTAATTGAAATTAATTTTTCCTGTTTCTTTTTAATACTGGCTACTAGAAAAGTTTAAATAATGAATTTCACCCCCATTTTATTTCTATAGGAGATAACTGATCTGTCATGATCAAATTACACTCGAATGGCCAAAAGGTGGTATGATATTTTTTAAAAATTAGATTACAGTGAATTTCTTACATTAGATGGTATTCATGTTTGAAACATAAGATTGAAATAGCTGAAAAGAATATTTACAGCTGGTCATGGTAGTGTGTGACTGTAGTCCCAGCTACTTAGGGGGCCAGGACAGGAGGATCACTTGAGGAATTGGAGGCCATTGTGGGCAAACTCTGTCTCAGAGAATGGATGGATGGATGGATGGATGGATGGATGGATAGATAGATAAATAGATAATTTGTAGCTTTTAAATAAATCCACTGAGAAAGGAAACAAGTTAAAAACAAATGATGCTTTTATGTTACTCTCATTATGAAAGGAATTAGAAGAGGCATGTACTCTGTGTGTTAATTCTTTCAAGAAGATATCATAGATAGGTTCAGAAATTATAGAGAAGATAAATACATTTAGAAAGTATCCAAACAAGTTGTTCTCATGCTTTTTGGTCCTTTAACTCCCTTATATTCTTAAGCTCTTTGGGGCAATTAATTTTTATATTTGAAATTTATCTACCAAAATTTACTATATTAGACATTAAAGTAAGAAAAATGTAATTAATTTATTTATAATAATTCATTGCCTCCTAACATAAATAGTATTTTCTAGTGAAAATTAGGACATTTTCCAAAGCCAACACAAAAAAATGTAAGAGAATGACATGTTTTATATTTGTGCAAGAACATACTTGGATTCTCCTTCTGTAATCAATATATTTGAGTATGTTTTGATTGAAGTATGTGAAGAAAATAAAGGTTCATAGATTATAATTGGAAAAGAGGGAAGTACTTAATGTTTTCAGGTAATGGTGGTTTTTCCTTTGATGTTACACTAGAACTCAACAAGTGTTAATTTCTTCAAGATTAGTTGCAGTGTGGAGTCTGAGATCATTCCTGTGATTTTTTTCATACTCTTGTTTCTTTCAAATTCATTATTTTTTTTGAGGCACTTTAGAGGCATGCTTCACACATGCAGATCATTTGGAAATGTTTATTCTCTACATCATGTAGAATTTCCAAATGTTGATCTATTTTGTTATGCATATATACACACACACACATGTGCACACGTGCCACATTTGTTATCATGCTAGTGATCTCATCAGAACAGTGTAGACAAGCTATCCTCATGCTATTGAATGTAAGTTTTCAAAATTCTGTTTTGTTTGAAAGCTCAAATTTTGTCATTGGCAACATGATTTCCAGATTTAATCTTGAAGTGACAGTGTCACTTCATTAACTTTTGAGAAAATATTTGCCAAAATTGGCTCTTACAGGGTGGCTCAAATGATTGCTCAGCTACTTTTCATTAAGACAACTATGGCTGAATTTTGAGAGGATTCAACTCAGTGCTTAACATTATCCTTCACTTAGATTTTAGCAGTAGCTAACATTTTACCACATTTATTTTTTCTCTATTTTTCTGTTTTTGCTGAAACATTTAGGAGTGAATTGCAGGTACATTGTTCCTTTACCCCTAACATTTCACATACATGTTAAAAATAAAGGTTTTGTATGTGCATATACACACAATACTATAGTACTATATGCTATACTACATAAATACTATATATATATACACACACACACATACACACACATAGTAGTAATAAGGAAATTTAATAGATACAATACTTTAATTTGGAGATCATGTTCAGATAATGTGTTTTATAGCAATTTTTGCTCCTGATTCAGGATCTAACCCATGTTAATACTGCATTTAGTTTTGGTGTCTCTTTAGTCTCCTTTAATTTGGAACA